GAAAGAGAGAGAAAGACAGACAGACATTGGCGAAATTGACAACTCACACTGAGGCCTCCCGGCGCCGAGGAGTAACCCCACAAACAAATCAGGAATGTTTTACCCCAAAAAGATAAAGTTTAATTCCCTCATTAATTCTGAACAGAAGGAAAGACGAGACAGGAAGAGGTTCGTGTGTGTGAGTGACGCCGCCGCTTCTCTGTCGGGACGTCGGTGAAGTGAAACCTACGGACAGAGACTCGAAGCTTTTCTGACCCGATGACCGGACGCGGTGAAGACCTTCGTGTTGGACCGTGACCTGCGGTCACCTCCCCCTCGGCTCGGCCTTGAGCTCCGCCACTGTCCAGCGCTCTGGGACTCTCCCCCTCACCAGCGGCGCCATATAAAGCAAAGTTGTTGTTGGTGTTACAGGCCACAATTTTAATACAGAATGGTATAGTTTGACACTGTGCCGTTGCCCCCACCGTAGTCCGAGGAGACGGGCAAACTGTGCAGTGTAATGTTTTATCCGAGGCTCCAGGAAAACAGTACATTGACACTGTACGAAAGGCTGATCCCGTCACTACAGTCATCCAAACAGGTCACTGTGGCCACAAACAGCCCAGACATTTGGTTGTCACCCAAATATATTGCCCACAAAACATACAGTCAGTTCACGTATATCCAATATATCACAATATATCCCGTGAAGCGCTTTCAGGCGTCTCGGGTACGCGATGAGACGGCGTATCAAATGCAAGGATTATTATTTAATTTATTATTAAATGACGAGTTATTAACTGATATGCTACACGACTCCACCGATTAAATCACTCCACAAAAATAACAAAAATAACGCAAACCATTAGGAAACTTATATTGAAAATTGTAAATAAATGAATAGAAGAGTTTTGTTGGAATCTTTAGTCACTCTACACCTTTGGCCAAGTAAAAGATTCAGCCCTTTCCAGGTATCAAACAGACGAATGAATATTAGCAATCCCGAAACCTCCAAATATACCACAATAAATCATCACAGAAGCATATCCGTCTGGACCCAAACATTGAGTATGACTTATGTGAATATAATAATTATAATTCTTGTTTTAATGGAGTTCAGGTCCTCCAGCATGTGAGGCGAGAGCTCTAATCGCTGAGCTGCAGGACTCCGCGTGAAGTCCGAATTGCAGGCAAACTGTACAAATTGTGAACAATTAGATTTAATAAACATGTGCAATTTAGTACAGCCAGAAAATGTCAGGAACGGGTTAAGACTACAGTTTCCGCGATTCAATGTGTCTTGATCCATCACCACATGCGCACAGAGAGCCAAGCGCTGGAGTGACATTGAATCGCGGGTTTATTGTGGCTTCTGGATTTCACATCACCTTCAATGTGAAGGACAAATATCTTGTGGAAACTGTTCATGGCAATCCCGTTGGTTTGTCAGCTTTTTAGGACGAAAGAAACCAGTGACAACCTGAACATCTCAAGGTTAGGCTTTCCAACAAGAACAATAACAAAACTACACGTGTAGTTTTGGAGTCCTGTAGCAAGCGAGAGACCTGAGTTCAATTCCAGGCAGAGGGCGAAATCTTGGGCAAGTTTCCTTACTCCACACTCCTAATAATAATCCCTCCAATAATAATAATAATAATAATCCTTGCATTTGATATAGCGCTTTTCACGTCGGGAGGACGTCCCAAAGCGCTTCACAGAACACACTGTAAAGTGAATTGACTGTATATTTGTGGGCGATCGCGGCAGCCAATTGCGCACAGCAATGTCCCACAAACAGTCGTGGATTGAAAATGACCAATTTATTATTGTTTTTGGTTTTTGGAGGGATTATTATTAGGCTCTGTGTGGAGTAAGGAAACTTGCCCAAGGTTTAGCCCTGCCTGGAATTGAACTCAGGTCTCTCACTTGCAAAGCGAGTGCTCTAACCACTGAGCTACAGGACTCCAAAAGTTAGCAGCGATTGAGTTATGGGGGTATTATTATTATATTCTGAAATGGGAAAAAGTAGCCCGTTTGTTTGTTTATTAATTAATATTCATTTTAATTAATAATCCAAAACCAAAAACAATAATAAATTGGTCATTTTCAATCTTCGACTGTTTGTGGGACATTACTGTGCGCTTTGGGACGTCCTCCCGACGTGGAAAGCGCTACATCAAATGCAAGGATTATTATTATTATTAGTGCCTTACACTTCGGGAAGGGATTGGATGGTTAATGTTTCCGAACCGAGCGCAGGGTCCGCATTGGGGCGGAAGGAAGGCATGGGGTGGGGTATTGGAAGGAGGGTGATCGAAACTCCTGTTGAAGCGGAGGGTCCTGGGTTGCGTGTTGAAGAAACCAATGGAGGGAGCGAAAAGGAGTTCCAAATGGTGGGGACAGAGTAGCTGAAGGCCCACCAACCAGGTACATCTGGAAACTTTGCGGTTTAGCTCGTACCTTTTTATTCTCTGTTGTACATATTCATTATGATGCAGATAACATACAGATTATTAAAAAAACATACCTTGTCCTTGATATAGCACTTTGATTTTATCAATCCCCTCCTCAAACCACCCCCAACCCCTCAATCTCTCTAACCCCTAATATAGCTATCCCATTTGCATCCTAGAATTTCCAATCTGCCCTCCTTGTCAAACGCATTGTTGCCGGTCAACTTTGGTCTCATCTCTCCCTCCATTTCCTCCTCGAGCCCCTGCAGTCTGATTTTCGTACTGACTGCCCACAGCACAGAGACATCGCTTGTCAAAGTCACAAACAATGTTCTCTGTATCTGTAATCAGGACTCTCTCTTCCTCCTCATCCTCCTGGATCTCTATACAGTGTTCGAAAAGGATGACCACGTAATCTTCCTCCACCATCTCTTCCATCATCTTCCTCAGTGGGACAGCACTCGCATGGTTTGAACTCTACTTAACAAAGAGCCCCGACTTCATCTCGGCAAACATTTTCTCCTCCTGTCCCCGCCTGGTAACCTGTGGTAACCCCAGGTCTCCATTTTTGGCCCTCTTCTTTTCCTCATCTAGATGCTCACTCTGGGCTATATCATCCACAGATATGGAGTAAACGTCCACATATATGCTGATGGTACACAAATCTGCTTTGTCTTCTCCAGTATCGACTCCAGGTCCACGAATGTTCCATCATCTTTACTGGCATACATCGTGGCGTGGAGGAAAGCAAACTTCCTGCAGCTGAATGTGGACAAGATGGAAGTCATACTGTTTGACTCTCAACGTATTCACTCCTGCAGATCTGAGCTCCTCAACCTCCATGGGCTCTCCCTCAGACTCATTGAACCTGTGCACAATCTTGGCGTCTGGTTTGACCCCCTGCTCTGTAAGATGATATTTATGATGTTTATATCAATGCAAATTGCTGTCGTTATTCGAACAGATCACCTTAGTATGGTTTAAGGTATTAATGGTCTCCAAAATCCATAGGTGGAACTTGATTTATCTGAACAACTGTTAACATAGAGATGTGGAGTATAAGCAACAGCCTGACAGTTGGGCCGAATAGCCTGTATTTTGTATGCTTCTATGAATCTAAGAGCCACAGCTTGTCTAATCCTTGTTCATATTTATTTCCTCTAACACTGGTGATCATCCTGGTCGCTCTCCTCTACACTGCGTTAAGGATCTGTGCTGACTCTTCAGTCATTCTTTGCCTCAATCCTTCCATCTTGCGGTTTTGGCTGGTTAGACTCCAGCAGTTACCCCAACACACACTCACGGTGTTTGTTGACCGGTTTTCAGACACTGGGCTGACAAAAAATTTCAGCTAAGAAATCGCGCCGCTCCTTAAGTGCTCCGAGATGTTTCCCACGTGAGGAGCACTGTATTGTTGTTGTTGTTATTGATTTTATTGTCTCCTCTGAGACGTCTCGTTTCCTGGGTGATTCTCCCTCGATTATCTAACGATAGTTTACAACTTATCCCTCGAACTCGAGAGATCGGTCTGCTCCGAATATGGTGACACGATAGAGAAGATGGCATATTTCTGAATGGTTTTCACTTTCTTTTACGCTCTAGGAAATAAGACTAAATTATGTTGCAGTCTACATTCTATCGGACTGAATGCCGACATTTTCTTTCTCTTTCCCGACAAGTGGAAATCATTTTTGATAAAATGTTGCTCATGTTGTTGACTATCTTCCTGGTCCCAATTCCGAAGCCCAATCCACAGTTACATTAACTGATAATATGCATAAAAGGCAACATTGCATATTGGCAATGATAACGTTTAAATGACTGTTAAACAAATGAGGTTCGAAGATCACGATCAGGAGATTAGATAGAGAGCACAGTGGTTGCTCTAAATTGAGAGGGTTGTTAAAATGAATCAAAGGTGAATTTGAAGTGGAGGTGGCAATTATTGTTGTATTAAGATAGACAGCAACAAATGCTTTATGTAGTGCAAATCTTGCAGCGTATAATCACAGTGCACTTGACACAATGTGTAACAGAAGTGAAACATAATAAATTGAGAAAGAATCAGAGTATGACAGAGAGAGTGAGAGTGCGCCTGAGAAACGAGAGAAAGTCAGATTTACATAAATAGGGAGAGTGTGTAAGAGAGAGAATGGGAATGAGAGAAAGAAACAGATTCAGGGAGAGAGAGATGGTGCAAGCAGTGAGTGACTGAATGAGTGAGATTGTGAGACGGTGTGTGTGTGTGTGAGAGTGGTGGAGAGGGGCAGTGAGGGAGAATGTTTGTGAGAGAATGAGAGAAGAGAGTGTGTGTAGGTAAGAGTGTGAGTAAGAAACGAGAGAGACAGTGGGGGGAGGGGGGTGGATGGACATGGAGTAGAGAGAAATAGAGTTTCTTACTCTATAGAAATAGTGTTTGACAGAGGGGGAGACAGATTGATTGATACCCAGACTGATAGAAGAGAGACAGCGTGTGAGAGGGTGAGTGAGAAAAGAGTATGATTGACAGAAATGGTGGACTGAGTGAAAGAAAAAGACGGGCTGGAGAGTGTGTGGGAGTGTGGGGTTGTGGCGACAGCAAGAAACAGAGACAAGGAGGGAGAAAGCAGAGACGGAGGAAAAGAGAATGATTGAGCGTGTGGGAGGAGAAAATATTTGCGCAAGAGGAGAGTGAAGATGGGGAGTGAGTGATAGAGAGAGGGGAGATAGAGGGAGTGTTAGAAGGGAAAGAGATTGTTAGAGGGGTGTTGTCGTGTGGGGAGAAAGGGTGTATGAGAGAGAGTAACTGAGATAGGGAGAGAATGTGAGAGAAACAAAAGGAGAGGGGCAGAGAGTGATTGAGAGAGTGACACAGGAGACTGTGAGAGGAAAGAGATAAAATGAGCGACAAAATCCACACCATTAACACAATATTTTTAAAAAATGGCATCTCCAATAAGTTTATTTCTTCCTTTCCTGTTTAGTTTTTCAAAAATTCCTGAAGCCAAACTTTGATACCAAAACCACAAACAAAGAACTATAGAGATGTACAGCACCGACGAAGAGTATTCAGCGTGTGGTGGATGTGGTGGCACATTTATAACAATTCCTTCCGTCCCATTTCTCTGCTCTGTTCCCTAATCTAGTTGTAGATAGTTCACTCCATTTAGTTCGATATGTAGACCTGTTTTGAAAACCAATATGGATTCTGCCTCAATGACTATTCCCGCCAGAGCTTTCCGCAACCCAACAATCAAATGCGCCGGACAACATATTCTCCAAACCTCCTCATTTACTAGTTTTCTACTTGTTTGTCTTAAATTGATGTTTTAAGAACTAAACCTCGACCAGTGGAACTTTTATAGCAGGTAAAGATTGAGTTTCTGTGGAAATCTCCAAGGGAACAGGGCGAGGCTATGATTTACTGCCAGACATTAGCTGCTGGACTCTGACCAGAGTGTGTTATTACCTGTACAGCCCTGAACACTGAAGTACATCACTGAGAGGCTCGGGAACCAGTGACAGGAACCGCAGCTCAGTCAGTGGGGAGACAAGACGGTGAGTCTCTCATTAGCTCTGATTGTGGCTGAAAAAAAACAGTAAAGTTACACCAGGTTTTAAGCACTTGGAATGAGAGGATAGAAGAAATAGAGTGCAAGTGAGAATTGAGAGGGAGAGGTTGGAGGTTGAATGGTTGACAGAAATAGGGAGAGAATGAGAGAGAGAGAGAGAGTGTAGATGAGTGAAAGAAACAGAGACAGGAAGAGAGGGGGGGGGAGTGAGTGAGTGAGTGTGAGTGAGTGATCGATAGTGTGAGAAGGAGAGTGTGTGTGTGTTAGAGGGGGAGACAGAGTGCGGTAGAGAGATGATGGGGTGAGAGAAAGAAACAGAGACCGGGAGGGAAAGAGGGAATAAGCAAAGCGGTGAGAGATTGGCAGTGAGTGACTGTACGACAGAGGCGAAGAGATAGCTATTGAGTGAGAGAGTGTGTGTGAGAAGGTGAGTGAAATGTGAGGGGCAAAGTGATTGACAGAAAGGAGGTCAGAGGGAGAGAGGTGGTGAGAAAGAAACAGAGATATGGAGACAGAGAGTGAAAGAAAGTGAATAAGATTGTGGGAGGAGAGAGTGTTTGTGAAAAAGAGGGAGAAAAGGAAGAGTGAGTTATCGAGAGAGCGTAGACGGAGAGACTGTGAGAGGGGAAAGGGAGTGTGAGTGGAGGGAGGGCTGGTGTGGGAGATGAGGGGATAGAGAGAGAGGAACTGAGAGAACGAAAGAGTGTCGGTAAGACAGAGCGCGAGGGGGGAGCCAATGACTGAGAGAGGACAGAGGGAGTTTGTGTGAGAAGTAAAAGAGAAAATGAGAGAGAAACTTCATAACATTTAACACAATAAAAAAACGAGCGTTTCCAATATATTTTTTCCTTCCTTTACTGATCAGTTTTTTTTTCAAATCCCTGACTCCAATCTTTTGTGCCACACTCACGAACAAAGAAACATGTAGATGTGTAGCACAGAAGAAGGATGGCTGTGGCTATTTTTATGAAAATCCTTTCAGTCCCATTTACGTTGCTCTTTTCCCAAACCCCCTTTTAGATAGTTGATTCCATTTAGATCGATATCTTCTGATGATCTAAAAACCAATCTGGAATCTGCCTCAAACCTCATTCTCACCAGTGCTTTTCATAACCCAACAACTAACTGGGTAGGAAAACAAATTCTCCAAACGTCCCCATTTGCCAGTTTGCTAACTCTCTGAAATTGATGCTTTCGGGATTGAACTCGGACCAGAAGGAATTTTAAATCAGGTAAACTTGAGTTTCTGTGGAAATCTCCAAGGGAACAGGGCTTGGCTATGATTTATTGCCAGACATTAGCTGTTGGACTCTGACCAGGGTTTGTTGTTACCTGTACAGCCCAGAACACTGAAGTACATCACTGAGAGGCTCGGGAACCAGTGACAGGAACCGCAGCTCAGTCAGTGGGGAGACAAGACGGTGAGTCTCTCATTAGCTCTGATTGTGGCTGAAAAAAAACAGTAAAGTTACTCCAGGTTTTAAGCACTTGGAATGAGAGGATAGAAGAAAGAGAGTGCACGTGAGAATTGAGAGGGAGGGGTTGGAGGGAAGAATGGTTGACAGAAATAGGGAGAGAATGATAAAGAGAGAGAGAGAAAGAGTGTAGATGAGTGAAAGAAACAGAGACAGGAAGAGAGGGGGGGGGGAGTGAGTGAGTGAGTGTGAGTGAGTGATCGATAGTGTGAGAAGGAGAGTGTGTGTGTGTTAGAGGGGGAGACAGAGTGCGGTAGAGAGATGATGGGGTGAGAGAAAGAAACAGAGACCGGGAGGGAAAGAGGGAATAAGCAAAGCGGTGAGAGATTGGCAGTGAGTGACTGTACGACAGAGGCGAAGAGATAGCTATTGAGTGAGAGAGTGTGTGTGAGAATGTGAGTGAAATGTGAGGGGC